TTTTACAAAATAATCGCAAGCCTGCTCTACATAAATATATATGCGTTTAGCTTTAATTATCCGCTTAGCTAGCGGCAAATTTCCGGACGATCCAATAGATTTTGACAAATAACTTGTAATGTCTCTTATCATGCATATAGATAGCATCGTAAAATTACTTATGCAAGGTAAAAATATTACTTATGCATAGAAACAAAAAAGAAAATCGTAAAAATCCATTCTACTTGTCGCCAAAATTTATGACGTCACGGTAAAACTAGGAAATTTTCCCGGTAAACAACTTCTATTATTTTTTTTTTTTCGATTCGGAGGTAAGTCATTCACTTATAGGCCTATATCTCTAGCAACCGAAGTAGACATCATCTGGAAGGAAGACAGCACGTATAGATTATTTTGTGAAAGTCAGAAGACATTGTGTCAGCAAGTTCAAGATCAGTGTCGTTAGTCCGAGGAAGAGAGAATCGGACAAGAAAGGAGCAAGAATAGGTTGAGAGCAATGAAGGATAGAATATAAGTGTAAGATATATTAGAAGGAAAGATCGGCAGTTTTGACGAAGGCAATTAGTTCCTTGAGATTAGCAGGATTGTGAGCACAAAAAAGACATGATCTAATGCGTTGTACCTACCGAATAAACCGAAGAAGAGTCTAATCTTATCAAAATTTCTGCGTCTGAAGATGACACATGTTCAGTCGATTCAGTTGAACGGCATGTGTCGCACTTGTCATTGTCCATCGTCCGGATCATTTTAAGCTAAGGTTTGTCATAGGCATGATTAGTGATTAAAGGGTAGAGACACCCACGATCTCCCACGACAACAAGAAGAGAGCTAGAATTTGGTAGGGGTTTGATTAGATATGGACGGATAGAAACTTCTATTAATATGCAATGAGCTTAACAAAATGTATTAGAGTCGAGAGTAATTAAATTCAATAACTTTAGAGTAATAATTTTGAGAAATGGTTATATTCGTCATCGAAATATATAAATTAGTTTAATTTTCCTGACATAAAAATCTTATTATTCTTCTCCCATTTCCATCATAAAGTATTTAAAATTAATCTTTGCTGGCGTATAGGGCGAGCGAGCCCTTATATGCATGTGATGTGCATGGTGTAGTCAAAAAAAATTAATAAATAAAAATCTGGCTGGCTTTTGCCGAGAAATTTTCATTATTGTATTTTAATTATTTTGAAAAGGAAATTGTTGTTTGAGGAGTGGTCGTTGTGTAGCGATTCGATCCGATTCAATTCATATTTTCAGCACAGTATATATAAAAATACATGGGCAGACAATATCAGAATACACAAGTTTAAAATCGATTTTAAAGTGATCCTGATCCCATATGGTACTAAAGAGGTCGATATCTCTGGATCTTAACTTTACATACATACAAATACTACAAGTGGTGTAGAATATAAAAACCAAAAAGTTTGTTATATTTTATAGAACGATAGGCCGAAGTTCGCGAGGGATTTGTTTGTACGCCAAGGTAAATTAAGGATGGTTGGTAGTCTAATTTTTGTAAGTAGAATAGAATTGGAATGGGCGTCAAATGGGCGTAATGATATTTGCATACAGAATACAAAATTTCCAAATACGTTGTCCAAGCAGAATGTTTTTGAAAACTATATTAATATACCAAGTAAATTGCATGTCAGCCTCGGCGTGATCTAAACAATGGATATTTGAAAAAGTTGCCCGAATATATATATATATATAGAATTTTCTCAGTCGCGTTTACCGCTTTACGATACAAATGTTTCGTTTCCTCTATTTTTATTGGTCAATGTTTTTTTACAAATACGCATAAATCAAATTCATTTATACAAATACATAGAGACATGAAATTTACAACATACAAAAGTCATTAAAACTTTGACCAGTAGTAGCAATTAAAACTTTTTGCACACAACTTAAGTATATAACCCTAACAGGTATGCATTGCATGCAACCAAATGCTATTTACATTAAACAACTTTATATTACGCGATATAAAATTCCATTTTTATACGTAACACCGAAAACTGAAAGCATACTTACTTTGACATTCCTTTTGTGGCACTCGTCAAAAGCTCATCAAAAGGCACGTAACTGATAGTCGTGGTTAGTATAGAAAATTTCGAATCAATTTAACCTATGTCCGTCTGTCCGACAATTAATTTTCAACGTGTGACCCATCAATTCTTAAATTCATTCTTCTTTTCCATATTCGTTCATACCCCATAAAAAATGTTGAAAAATTCGTCATTCGTATTCCCAATGAAAATGTGAAGAGTATTCAAGATTCGCTTCAAGGGCAATGTATTCTTCGGTCTGCTTATTTCTAGCTCATAGTGCAAAAATTGCTTCGAAAGAGAACAGCGGAGAATGGTAAAAATGGAAAGGACACTTTTGATAAATTGCGCAGGCGCTTTACTGGTAACCGTATTGAGGAGGGAGGACTACAACGAACAAGGAGCAAACTAAACTGTACTGAGATTTGTTAGACATTTCAACCCTCATTTTAATAGACACGCAACTAAAGATAGAATTTAAAACCTCAGCAACGTCCTGTCATAATGATAGTAAATATGAGGATGAGTGTAGGGGGGAATGTTTAGAGTCTTTTTGATTTCCCTTTTGTCAAAATGAAGTCCATCCTTTGTTTGGGATAAAGAAGAACGACTTAGCACGCGACCATCAAAATATATATAATATTTTCATATGCTAAATATATAATATATAAGCAGTGTTCGCAACAACAGTACTACGGCGTACTGATTTTGTCATTTCACTTGCAACACATAACAAGCATATAGAGCGTTTGTATATAGCACTGGGTAAATTTTATATCGTTCGCTTTACTAATTCATAATTTAGAGTCTCTTCTCCGGTATACCCATCAAAGCAACCAACCAAAGAGTCTATTTAATGACTTCTTTTGACTCATAACTAAGATCATTAAGCAACTTTCTACAAAAATTCTCACTCGGACTCGGATTTCAGATGAACATGGATTTAATTTCGATTTTTTTTTTTTTTTTTTAAAGTGATGATTAGTTTTGGCAGTAGTCAACGGTGCATTATTGTGTTACAAAAATTTGGAATTGTTTTGCAAATGAGAAAAGTGAATGATAGATAATATTCCTTATCCCTTGTTGAACACTCTGCAAGAAACTTTTTGCGAACAACATCACGATAATTGAAGATGACAATTAGTAGAGAACTTTAGCTTAAGTTGGAGTGGCTCAAGATATTCCCTTGGTTTGTTCGAATTGTATCAAGTAGAGGACTTTAGCTTAAGTTGGAGTGGCT